CGTGAAAGGAGGTCTCAGCAGAGCCGAAGCGAAATAAGCCACGACACGAAATATCCGAAACAGCTCATGCAAGAAGCAGTTCCAAAGAAGGAAGTTCCTCGCGCATGCACATCCGAAAACGGACTGCACTGCAACACAATGTCTGCCGTGCACGTGCACAGCACGCACCACACGTTGGTAGATCTAATACCGAGCACCTTACGTAGAAACTTACGTAGCCTAAGTGAAATACCGAGCACCTCGGCAGATGGTGGTCGTGGAGGAGTGCTGGACCTGGATGACTCCATCAATGGAAGCACCGTTCGGGATCTCCTCAAGGCCAAGCACCCGGAGGCGCAGCCTCTTCATGCGGAAGCATTGCTTCAGGGCCAGGCACCCGTGCCTCCCCACCCTGTACGCTTTGAGTCACTCAACCGAGACGCACTACGCAAGGCCGCCTGCACACCCAAGGAGCTGCCGGTCCCTCCGGGGTGGATGCTGCCTCTTGGCGGCACATGTGTACATCCTTTGCCGATACATCGGACCAACTCTGTGACGCTATGGCCAAGTGTGCTCGTCGTCTCGCTACTACGTACGTGAACCCGGCGTCACTAGACGCCTACACTGCATGCAGGCTGATTCCACTCGACAAATGCCCTGGAGTCAGGCCAATAGGCATCGGGGAAGTCTTGCGGCGCATAGTGGGGAAGGCCATCCTCGAGGTGATCCGCCCCGAAATCATGGAAGCTGCTGGCAGTCTCCAGCTATGTGCGGGGCAAGATAGCGGCATAGAGGCGGCAATCCATGCGATGTGCGACGTATTTGATGACCCTTCCACTGAGGCCATTCTTCTGGCTGACGCCACCAACGCGTTTAACTACATACACATTAGCTATGCTTGTCACATGCTATGAGATTGTGTCTAATAATAATAACTGCCTAAATCGCGAAGTGTGCCTCCGTAACATCCAGCACCTATGCCCATCACTCGCCAAACTCGTGATCAACACCTACCGAAAGCCCGCTAGCCTCTTCGTCGGCGGCGAGAAGATCTTGTCATGTGAGGGTACCACACAGGGCGACCCCGTCACCATGGCGATGTATGCCATTGGCATCATCCCACTTATGAAAGCTGTTGCAACAGAAGGAGCCGTACAGGCATGGTTTTTTTTTTTTTTTTTTTTTTACTATTGTTCCCAAACCCAACTCGTAAAATAAATAATTATGTGGACAAAAACAAACAGCTACTGAGCAGGGGCTGCACTGGGCAGCAGTGATGGTGAGGTACCAGGGGCTCCACCGACCAAAGGTCTCGGCTTCAATGCCACAAGCACGCACCAGGAAAAAGAAACAGAAATGTAAAGCAAAGCTAGATCTAGCTATGGGGAAGTAGAATGGGTAAACGTACCGGTAGGTGTTTAGAAAAATATAAACAAGATGAAAAGAGATTGCAGATGATGCCGGATCCGGTGGCAAGCTGAAGAGCCGCCGAGTGTGGTGGGATCAGCTGATGGAGAAGGGCCCCAAATATGGCTACTTCCCAAATCCAGCTAAGTCAGTCCTAGTGGTCAAGCCCCCACTCCTCGACGAGGCCATCCGGATTTTCGCTGGTACTGGTGTTTCCATCCAGGCAGATGGATGCCGCTACCTTGGTGCAGCCATCGGATCATCCGCGTTCGCCACGCAGTACGTGCAGCAGAAGGTCGAGGAGTGGGTCGCACAGGTCCAACGGCTGAGTGACTATGCCCGCTCTCAGCCTCAAGCTGCGTATGCCGCGTACACCCATGGCCTGCAGAGTAAGTGGACCTTTCTCTGCCGAGGCATGCCAGCCATGGATGAGCACCTGCTTCCACTTGATGATGCTGTGTCCAACATGCTGATCCCTGCCCTTCTGGGACGACCGGTGAATACCCAGGAGCGCAGCCTCCTTGCTCTTCCGTGTCGCTTCGGCGGTCTCGGGCTGCCCCACCCATCGTCGCGAGCCTCCCAATATCAGTCTTCTCGAGACATCACCGCGCCCCTGACAAGCCGTATCTTGGTCCAAGATATGGAATTAGGCACCGCCATTGACGATGTACGCGCTGCCAAGAAGCAAGCGAAGAACACAGTTGACGCCTCGGTTCGGGCTGATGCTGTGCTTCTTTCCTCATCTGTGGATACTGAGTTGCAGCGGGTCATTGCGCTAGCGTCGGAGAAGGGAGCTTCTTCCTGGCTGACCTGTCGACCCTTGAAGCGGCATGGCTTGACCCTCACCAAGGGTGAGTTCCGCGACGGAATCCACTTGCGCTACGGCTGGCTTCCACAGCGACTGCCATCATCTTGCAGCTGTGGAGCCACATTTTCAGTCGCTCACGCTTTGTCTTGCCCCACAGGGGGGTTTCCGTCGGTGCGGCACAATGAGGTGCGTGACCTCACTGCCCATATGCTGAAGCGAGTGGCTCACAATGTCTCCGTGGAGCCCCACCTGCAGCCGGTCACTGGGGAGCAGTTCCGGTATCGCACCGCTATCCAGACTGAGCAGGCCCGTCTCGACGTTGCGGCAAGTGGCATCTGGGGTGGCCGGTTTGAGCGCACCTTCATCGATGTGAGGGTTTTCAATCCTCATGCGACCTCAAACCGCGCCACCTCCATTGCTTCCTGCTAGAAGGAGAAGGAGAAGCGGCGCTGCTACGAGCAACGTGTCCGCGACATAGAGCATTCGTCGTTTGTTCCGGCCATATTCTCTACCACTGGTGGTTTGGGCAAACACGCGCAGTCGCTCTACAAGCGGATAGCTTCTCTTCAAGCCGCGAAGACTGGAGAAGCATACAGCTGTGTTATGTCTTGGGTTCGATGCAAATTGAGTTTTGCCCTACTCCGGTCCAGCGTGATGTGTTTGCGCGGATCCCGGAATCTTCGGCCGGTGCAGTTGGACTCACCTCCCACCTTGGCGGTTGCTGAGGCGGGCATTCGCATTTGATACCATTTGCCTCTGGTTTTGACTGTATTGGCTTCGTCTGTGCTCTTTTCATCCTACTACTAGTAGTTTTCAGTCCGCTATTGGGCGGCTGCACTCCAGCACTGCTTTGCACTTCTCTTTACTTCTTTTTTCGTTTTTGTAATCATTGCTGACTGAGCTGTACGTAGATTTAAAAAAGATTTTCTATGTAGTGTGCAAGGGACAAGCTTATCTATTTTTGCGGATTTTCTTTCATAATTTTGATGATCCAGGGGATGGCCCACGCCTGGTACTGCCACTGCATTATAAATCATAAGCACCTTACGTAGAAACTTACGTAGCATAGCGATGTCGTTTTTCTGCCATGTGAACACAATAATAGAAAAGCTGACAGGATCGCTTTTCTAAATGATATAAGTCCAGTGCAGTGCAACTACCGTACAATAAATTACGATGGATTTGTCCAAACAGAGTGGAAGACTACAAGACAACACGCACGCATATGCATCACGCGTACACAAGTGGGCGAGAGACAGAGAGGAAGAGAGAGAGAGACACCTTACTTCTCTAACACCATGAATATGCGAGTATGGCCAATGCACTCCATACGTTTAATAAAACACATAGAATTCACAATCATAAACTATAGCGAATGTCTCATACTGTACCTCCTCAATGGAAAGCGTTTCTGCTTCGGAGTAATCCGTCATGAAAAATTTAGGTTTCCATCGGGGATTGTTGTTTTTGATGATACGGAGAGCTTCCGCAATATCCTCACTCCTCTCCAACTGAACGCAAAACTCTATGGCAATAAAGAATGACAAATAAGTGAAGACAGTTAGTAAACAAATGAAGTGTTTCTTTGTCAACAAGGCCGCTCATCTCATAAGGGGCCGTCCGGGGTTACCGATAGTTATTGCAAAACGAAAAGTTTTAGTATTTTTCAGTACCCACCCACCCACCTACCTTTTCTGCAGGCAAAACGAATTCCAATAAAATATTGATGTCAATTTTTCGACAACCAGAAGTAACAGGGCATTCTCCATCTGCATTCAATAATTATTTTCAAAATGAAACTCCTTCAAACCCACCCACCCCCAAACGAAAACTTTTCGTTTTGAAAATACTATTGGTAACCTTGGACATATACACATATAAACGTTCAAACAATTCATCATCTACCGATTAGCAGCTGTTTGAGCATCACTAAGAAGGAAAAGAAGAAAAGCAGTACTCTATGGTACATATCCTACCAGCTACGACGATGTATCCTGCATTTGTGTGCACCACCAAGAACAACAGAGCGAGATCGTAGCATGTAGTACGATATTTGGCATTCATAAGTGCTAATTCGCCATAGTCAGCTAGCAATTCTTGCTGCCACTTCTCCTGGTGGATAAGCAAGAGACGAGTAGCAGCAGGAATAGGATCGACCAAAGCTTCGTCCTCACCGCAGCGACCACTGCCATTGTATCTGGTGGCAGGAAAAGGGGGAAAGAATTATGAGAAGTTCATCAAAAATCATTGCAGTGCACATGCATACAATAGATGGGAAAGCCACAGAAAGAATAGTGTCGCTGTGTTGTCAGACTTAAAAAAAAGTTGCATTCTACCTTCCATGTCCTGCATCTTCTTCTGTTGCATCACTCAAACAGACAGAATCAGAGTTCTGCTGCTGATCACTGGACGCAGCGACATAAGGCCGGAACTGCAGCAATGCAGGTGGATTTGTCCCTTCATTCCACTTCTTAATCTGGATGAAGAAGTAGAAAATTAGAACATGTGTGTGTGTGTACGAGAGAGAGAGAGAGAGAGAGAGAGAGGGAGAGAGAGAGAGAGAGAGAGAGAGAGAGAGAGAGAGAGGTAGGAAGAGAGAGAGTGAGAGAGAGAGAGAGAGAGAGAGAGAGAGAGAGGTAGGAAGAGAGAGAGTGAGAGAGAGAGAGAGAGAGAGAGAGAGAGAGAGAGAGTGAGGTAGGAAGAGCGAGAGCGAGAGAGTGAGTGAGTGAGAGAAAGGTATCGAATACATTTATCCAAGTACTTCGCTTGAGAATGTAAATGTGCCATGATAAAGAAGAATCAGCAACTATGATATAATGCGCACACAGACGTAACACACGTGTGCCTTGAAGGTCATCTCCTCCTGGTCAAGCCGTGACTGCTGAAGTTTGTGCGTGGACAGAGCAATGTGGGAGCGAATGTCCTTCAGTTCTGGATGATGAGCACGACCCGTTTGCTGAAATCAAAGATAAGAATGATAAAGATATAATGGTCTTTAAATAGAGTGAGAGGTTAGCAGAGTATATGCACTGTTACACACACACACACACACACACACACACACACACACACACACACACACACACACACACACACCAATGAAACATGTAGTAGGCAGATGGCAGTGCATACTTCAAGGAATGAAATAAACCATACAGTGAAACTTCAGGATAACGTACTCCACCGGCTGCACAAATCTGTACTATACAGCTAAGGTGCTGTAACGTTATACCTATAAGTTACTAGTTATGACTAACAGTCCACCAAGGTGGTAGTATGTATGATACATGCAGGGTAGTCTCTAATGAGCTGTTTCACTGCAGCATGTTCCTCATTTTCTCCTCCTACCTGGCTATACTCGATTTTGAGAAAGGTTTGGATGGCCCTGGCATCTCTCAAACCTTCGGCCGTGAAGGGAAAAAGGTGGTCGATGACCTCTTTGCTAATCCGCTGGCTGTATGCGCTCATACAGCGGCCAATGTCCGACTCCACATCGTGGCCCGTGTGGCATGATGCACTAGGCACGCTCACAATGAATCTAAGAGGACAAAGCAAGACATGAATGAACCAGAATTCTGTATTGGAATCGCTTTCAGATGCTTGTAGTGGAACCCACGTTCGACCAGCCAGCACTAATGCAACACTTCGGACTAGGGAATGAATTATTTACAAGAGAATTGGAAGAGACATAGAAGTTAGAAGTAAGTTATCAGAACCAGACTGAAGCACACTGAACTAAAGGATCGACTCAACTACTGAAGTACAGAAAGACGGGCATGCAATCTGAGAAAGGAGTGCAGCTACGCACGTGGCTAGACACATGCACAGCATGAGAGGTGTACACATAAAGCAGAGGCGCGCGCATATGGGTGAGCGTGTACACAGCATGCATAGCAACATACAGTGTGACACAAGAGTCATAAGGCACCTAATATAGCAGTTCATAACACCACTCCCCTAGGTGCCATTGATCATCCACTGTATCTAGCTGGCTGTCGTCGATTACCAGGGCCTCGGAGATCGTAGCGCTGAGTCGGCATGTCAGCCGCAAACTCGATGCTCACCACATTATCACAGGCAGCTGGCTCTGGGCGATCTTCGGCAGCGTCATGGTTACCATCATCTAGTGTTCCATCTACCTGCTGGGCGTGTCCAGGCTTCACGATATCAACGTTCACGACCTTCTCTCTGCCGTCAGCATGCTGGATCACCAGGGTCGATGGCGAGACTATCTTCAGCACCGTCCAGCCACTCTCATATGGCGTCATGAGCTTCTGACTCCGCTCTGGGCGACGTAGCATCACCGGATCATCGACACGGTATGGTGACTCTGTTGGACCGCCTGACACAGAGTCATTCGAGGACAGTAGCGACTCAACAAGGTCTCGAATTCGAGCAGCGCGCCCGGCGAGTCGGTCTACCCATTCACTGGCGCTGTATGCTGTCGGGTCGTGATCAATTACTAGATCGCGCCCTTCCCAGCCCGTGATGGCCAGCCTTGGCGATATTCCGGTTGTAGCATGGCGACGTCTATTGTAGTAGAACAGAACCAACTCCAGCTCAGACGTCCAGTCACTGGTTTCCTCGAGCGCCTTACGCAGGAGACCGATGATCGTACGGTTGAGCCGTTCAACCCCTCCTTGTGATTGAGGATGTCGAACTGCACCCGTTTTCACCACCACACCAAACTGTTCCAGGAGGGCTGCTACGACCGAGTTCCGGAACTCAGTGCCGTTGTCCATGCGAATGACAGACGGCGGGCCCCACCGGCAGCAGATCTTGCTCAGTGCGGCTGCTACGCTCGCTGCATCGTGTCGACGTAGTGGCTGTACCTCCGCCCACTTGGTGAACATGTCGACGCATACCAGGCAGCAGTGGTGCGCTCCACTCTGGCCAAGCTCCAACGTGTCGATCTGTATGACCTCCCATGGTCGTCCTGGTACGTCTGGACGCGTTGGCTCAACAGTCGGTCCCCGTGCCGGGTTAGCTGCAGAGCAAGGCACACACGCTTGGACAACACTCTGGCATTTCTCGGCCATCAGCGGCATATAGCAGCGCTTGCGCAGTGAGTCATGCATTGTCGTCCAGGTGGCATGGCCAGAGGTCTTGTGAGATGCTTTCAGTACTTGGTCTTCAAGCTCAGGTGGTATGACTGGCACTTGCACGACACCGTCGAGTGGCAGCTTTACTGAACGCATCAGCACACCGTCATGGTCCAACAGCTGATCACGGACCGGTCTGTACAGCTTCGACGACAGGGGGGTTCCCAACTTCAGCTCATCCAGCAGCTGTGATATCTCGGTATCGGCTTGCTGCGCATCCTTTATCTCACTGAGAGTAACGGGCCCGATAGCATGCTTGTGCGTTGCCACAGAAACAGAACAAACATCACTCGCCTCGGCTGTACCCTTGGGCCACCGCCTCGGGACACGGGTGAGCTCATCGGCCGGGTTCTGGTCAGTCGGCACCCACTCCACTCGGACCTTGAGGCCGACCGTTTGGACGAAGTCAGCAATCACTTCCAGTCGCCGCTCAACCAGTATCTCGTGCAGCCCACCAACTTTCACTCGGCGCACATTGTCGAGGACCTGCTTCAGCCAGCCGTACACTGTCTTTGAGTCGGTGACGAGTCGTACCGTCTGCAGGTGCCATTGCGCTGCAAGCGACAGTCCACGCACCGCAGCATCTAGCTCCGCCACATTGATGTGCTTCTTATCGGCTGTGTCCCGCAGCCATGTACCGTCTTCGATGACTTGGCCGTTCAGCTGGAGGACCACACCGACTGCCAGATCCGAGGCATCGCAGAACACAGCCCAATCTCCATCGGACTCGGCTGATGCATGCCACACACCACGGACGGGGTCTTGAGCGGACAGCTGCTCAGCAACTTCGTCAGCACACTGAAGAACGCTAGGTGGAACCGGCGTGTCCCATCTGTCCACTGCACTTGATAGCCGCTTCAACATTGAGCAGGCTGGGCGAAGCCATGCGCACACTGGATAGTGGCTTGTGAGCCGACCTGTCCATTGGAATACACCACGCTTCGTCAGCGGTTGGCGGAAGCTGAGGTCGACTCCATCGCGGCGAGCCCACATGATGGTACCATCAGCAGTCGTCGATAGCTTCAGGCCAAGCACTCGCGCCTCGGGTAGATGCTCTGGTGGCTTTGTCGGCAAGCCATACCGTGCTAGCTCTGCAGCGACGGCCTTGCGCTTCTCCGCTGGCGTGAGGACGTCATCAACGTAGTTGTCCACATCAGGCCATCGTCGCGTCACCCACCGAACAATGATGTCCATGAATTTTGGTGCAATCGATAGACCAAAACCCATCCGTGACATGGCGTACAGCTTCCCACGCCACACCACGACTTGGTAGCGCAAGAGGGATGGGTCGACTCGTACCTGCAAGTACGCCTTACGTATGTCGACAAGTTCAAACTGGCTGTCTGCAACCTGTCGCCACTTGCGGATCTTCTCACCGCATGCTGGGGCATCAGTGCCTGGGTTCGACTTAATCACCGCATTCAAGCCACGGTAATCAAGACAAGGACGAACTGGGGTCGACTCCTTGTGGGCTTGGTCCTTGGCGAGCAGCGGAATGATGGCCGCCGGAGGACCATACGTAGCCTCGTCGTACTCGATCAGGTAGCCATTCTCAACCCAGGCGTCCATCTCGTCACAGAACTGCGACTCTTGCTTGTCTGACAGGTTGTGCCTCGCGTACTGTCCGATCCCTGAGCCGATCGGAGATGTAGGAGCTTGCCCATCACGCCACTGCCAGTGCAACGTCCAATGCTGCTTGTCGTTGTCCCACCGGAGCTCTCCGTCTTCGGCCTTCAGGGTCACACCACGATCGTCCTCTGTGACGTCCACATGACGGAGTGTGCTCTCAACGTCAGCTGCAGCAGTAGCGGCTGCACCGGTATCTCTAGGTTGAGGACCAAAGCACACGCCATTGACCTCGCCGTCCTGGCCATAACTGAGTCGAACGCCACCAACACCAGCTATAACGTCAGCACCGAGGAGGAGGTCTGCTGCCACAGCCGTCAATGAGTCGACAACGCAGGCATTCACACGCACTCTTGGCAGACTAACCGGTTCACCATCCCCTTGGCGCTGCAGTTCCACATCAACTGCTCCTCTGATCTTCACCTTGCTGCTATCCACGGATACAACAGACACACGTGGCTGAGCAGTGAACGGAATCTTGTGAAGTTTGAGGAACTCGACCGTAACCATTGTGTAACTTGCACAAGTGTCCACTGCTGCTCTAGCACGTGCCCATTTGCTGCCTACCACGCCTCGCACGTCAACGTAGATTCTGGGCAGTGAAGCTCTAGTAGCCTCGGCTACAGTGCACAAACACGCACCCCTCGCCAGGGAGCCACTGTCTGCAGCCGTTGCTGCTCCAGACGATTTCCGCTCTTGCCAGGCTTTACGCTCCGGACAGTCACTCTTCATGTGACGTGGCTTGTCACAGAAGTAACAGGTTCGAGGGCCAGTACGCTCGCCGCGCGTTCCTTCACCAGCACCACTCTTGCGACCAGATTTCTTCGCTTTCGGGCACTGCCGCGCCATGTGGCCAACTCCGCCACAGTTGAAACATGCCTGCTCATCCGTGGTGGCAGCTGCCACAACAACATCGCCACGCACTCGTGTCAAGTGGTCCGAGGTCGCAGCCTTCAACGCCCGTACCACGTCCAGGCAACCCGTCACACTCAACTCTTTGCCCGCCATCGTAAGTCTTAGCTCTCGGGCAAACTCTACCAGCAGTCCCTTGATCAGCTGCTCTATGATCATCGGGTCCTTGTCGTCATCAGCCTTGTGCCCCGCCATAGTACTCAGTCGCTGCAAATCGGCAACGTAGGCGTCGGGGGACTCATCCACGCGCATCGTCCGTGAGGTGAATCTGGCGTACGCCTGCGCCTTCGTCAGAGTGAACGACAGTCCCATTTTCGCCAAGACTTTATCTTTGTCTTTCTGATCGCTTGCCGGCATCCGTGAAAATACAAGAAACGCGTCATCCGTCAGGAACAACGGAAAATTCTTCACTTTCTTGTCGTCCGTGTCCCAACCTTGTATGTTTGCAAGCACCAGAAACTTATCCCAAAAACGTCCGAAATCGTCCCCGTTCCCACGGAACGGCTGGAGGAAGTTGTCAAACTTGAGCGACATCTCGCTGGCGTGGCAGGGTTTGCACTCGTCAATACAACACACACGTCCCGGGTTTCGGCACCAGTTGTAGTGGAACCCATGTTCGACCAGCCAGCACTAACGCAACACTTCGGACTAGGGAATGAATTATTTACAAGAGAATTGGAAGAGACATAGAAGTTAGAAGTAAGTTATCAGAACCAGACTGAAGCACACTGAACTAAAGGATCGACTCAACTACTGAAGTACAGAAAGACGGGCATGCAATCTGAGAAAGGAGTGCAGCTACGCACGTGGCTAGACACATGCACAGCATGAGAGGTGTACACATAAAGCAGAGGCGCGCGCATATGGGTGAGCGTGTACACAGCATGCATAGCAACATACAGTGTGACACAAGAGTCATAAGGTACCTAATATAGCAGTTCATAACATGCTGCAATGTTAAAGCATCTCAGTCAGCAATTCAACAGCATATCTAATCTTTGGTAATACATTTAGCTCGTACCTGTACTGATGAGGCCGACCGTTATGGCCAATACAGCTTGCTGTCTACAACCTTATGTAATCGTTGGTAATCAATCATAGGTACTTGTGTACATATTCAAGTACAATTAAAAGAGGTGTCACGATTGACAACCACAGCAGGTACAACCCACACGATGACTCTGATCAGTTATATTCAACATACCTCTCCACGAAAGAAAATTTGGACAGGCCATCATCAGATGTTGCCGCTGACTGCAGTGCAGCGCGCAGCCCTTGCAATTGTCCAGCCCTTGCTCTGGTGTTGTTGTTTTTGATTATTTTACTTCGCAGATTCTAACGGGCAAGTTGCCCAATAACAAGAAAGCGAAGGCTGAGGGCTGAGGGAGACATACCGGCTTCCTTTATGGAGAATTCCGGGAACAGGATGACTCGCCTCAAGAAGCAAGAGACTTCGCAGCCTTTTTTACGAGTTCCTGCACGATAAAAATTGCCCATAGTCATGTAATGAGCATTTTGGACTCCGAAAATGCATTCATACTTACCTTGGACTTTGAGGCGTTTTTTCTTCTCAATGGGTACCTTCCCATAGCCGTGCTCGTCGGAGCTTGGGTTGGGTGAAGCATTACCCTCGCTCGACCCAGCCTCATGGCTCCGCTCTCTGCCATACTGGCAATCCAGGACTTGCGTCCCGCAGCACAGGAATGGAACCCCATCTCCCTGGATTGGGGCATGAAATTTTGAGCTGTCCTGGCTCCAGGAAAAAGCGCGAACGCGCGGCAGCGCATCGCGCAGAACTTCCTCAATACTGCAGAAAAACAAGGAAAATTTACCAGAAGAAAGTTACTTAATCTACAAGTGCTCAGACCTGCACCTCTGCCACTGGGCATTATATTAGTATGTGTTCAGCAGGGAGTAAAATGCTTTTAATACTCCCTGATGTGCATGTATCTCCGGACAGCTAACTCTTCCAACACCCCAATCCCATGCAATGTTTCTTCAGACTTCTACATTCTACACAAGACTAACGTTACTAATATCAAGAGTCCATAAACACTGTTTATGGACTCTTGCTAATATGGATAACCTACTCCATATGTGCTATCGGAGCGATGTGAGCTTCGTCCTAAGTGCTTGTTTTCTTATCTCTCCCCGAACGCCTTTTCCGTCTTCCTCACCACGAAACTTGCCCTGGGCAATGCCAACTGAAGAAAATCTCCTAGGGCTTGCTTCCCGTCAAATTCCTTCACTACTGCCATTTCGGAAGACAATTCCAAATCATGAAAGCAAATTATAATTTCAGATGGAAAGGGAGGTAAAGAAGGAAAAAGGTGAGAAGGTCATGCACCATGAGGAAGATGGTTCACCGGTGCGAAGGTCGTCTGCCATAAAGTACGCACAGTCGCATTTTGCAAATCCCGGCCCCGCGCCCGGGGCCCGGTCTATCTCCCTGTTTCAAACTCTGCCGCGAGGCCGCGGAGACCTCTCGTTTTGGGTAGACGTCTCAGGCTCAGACGTCTATCACACACGCGTGCCAAATATGTTTTTTTGCCGGGAAAGTCGGTAAAAATTAAGTGAGGGTCCCTTTAGTCCTTCGCTTTTACTTCGCCACAAGTTGCAACCCCACCCCCAGTGGCCAAATCAGTCAGTTTCACTGGTTACATCACCTTGCTGTGAGTAAGACGGCTTGAAATGTGCTTGGATCCATACAAAAACTGGATCCAAGTGGATCCAATTTTTGAATTTTTGAAATTGTTGCTATGCTGTGACGTAGCACTTTCAAGCCCTATTGCACGATACTATGGTTCTACGATGCACGGCTTTAGTTCTCTTAGTTCCTGCCTGGCTGAGTATCACTACAGTCCATTCAGAAAAGATTGATATTATTTTATTTTATTTATTTATTTCTGCACCTCGTGGCATGTCAAGACAGCCAATTGAATTGAGGAGAGGGTGAGACCAACCACGGAAGAAGAGAAAAAAAGAAAATGAAGAGCACGTACACAAAGTGGGAAGGGATTAGCAACTTACAAAGCAATGGTATGCTCAGCGAGCTATGCAGCGGAAGTGGTTACTGTGACTTTGTTTACTGGGAGATACTGAAGTGCTGTCTGACGAGGGTACGGAATTTGGGCATATCTGGAGCTTGTCTAACACAGGGAGGCAGTTGGAGCCACGTGGAGTAGGAGGAAAAGAAAGGGGAATTTACGAATAGGGTAGACCTAGCTAGCGGGAGACGAACGCAGCTTCGGGTGGTGCCACCTGAATTGAACCAATTAAGGGACTGTAAATGAGCAGGGTGCTGGTCAAGAAAAATTGAATGTGCCAGGGTGCACTTGGAAGCATCAAGGTAATGTTGCAGAGTGGTAGTGGATGCAGCAGCATACAAGTCTAGATTTGAGATATAACGATCATTACGAAATATGATGCGCAGTATACGGCGATGGAGAACTTCTAATTTACCTATGTGGGTTTTGTTAATGGTGGACCAGGCAGGGAAGCCGTACGTGAAGAGGGGAAGAATGTATGATTTATAAAAATTAATCCGGCAATTTTGGGGCAAATGGAACAAGTGACTTGACATTATGCCGACAGATCGGCATACTTTGGACGACACATGATCAGCATGGTGAGACCAGGAGAGGGCAGAATCTATGACAATGCCAAGGTGTTTATGGTGGGGCGCTACAGAGATAGGGTGACCGGGATCATCAGGAAAGAGAAAGATGGGCACTGGATCTGTGGGAGGGGGAGCTCGGTTTTGGTCACATTTGGCTTATGGTACCAAGTGCTCATCCAGTGAACAATGTCGTTGATACAGGTCTGAACTTTGGGGTACAGGGTGGCGTGAGATGGGGACGAAGCAAGGACAGTGGTATCATCTGCAAACAAAATAAATACTGGGAATTGAATAGGGGAGGTCATTAACGTATGTGAGGAAGAGCAGGGGACCTAAAATGGAGCCCTGGGGCACTCCGGATGTCACAGACTCGGGGTCAGATAAGGTTCCATTAACTGTGACGCACTGATTTCGGTCCAAGAGGTAGCTAGTTATCCAGGCGAGTAGGGAGCCGGAGACACCATGGGCACGAAGTTTAGCGATCAGGCCCTTGTGCCACACGGTGTTGAAGGCCTTGGAGAGGTCGAAGAAACTGATGCAGGAGACCTGCCGCTGGTCTTTTAGGGAGCAGAGGTCTTGGATTATGCGGGACAATTGCAGGGATGTGTTGTCCTTACGACGGAAGCCAGATTGTGCGGGGTGAAGGAGAGGGGAGATATGGTCGTACGAGTGGTCGTACACTATTCTCTCTAGCAGTTTGGAGACGCAGGACAGGAGGGAGATTGGTCGGTAATTAGACGGGTTGTTCTTGTCGCCTTTATTTTGTACACTGGAATGACAGTGGCTGACTTCCATCGTGACGGGAATGTGCCGGAGGAGAGGTAAAGGTTTAAAAAAATGGAGAGTGGGCGGGCAATTGAGTAGCTCAGTTTCCTGAGGATCTCATTGGTGATCCTATCAGCTCCGGGGGATTTGTTCAGAGGCAGTCTTGCAATATACTTGTGAACAGTCGATGAGGTGATGATCAGGGAGTGCAATGTAGTTGCTGGAGGAGGTATGGAGGAAATAGTGGGAATAGGAGCATCGGGGTCAACCTGTAAGCCAGCACTGACGAAGTGGCGGTTCAATAACTTACCAATGGATGCCGGAGAGGTGCTTGTTCGACCATTGGGGCCCACCATCTTCGAAGGTATGACCCGGGCGCTGGTAGGATTTCGCAGTTGACGAATGAGCACAGGGAGGGATGGGAGGCGAGGGTTTGTGCGAGATATCGTGGCACGGAGGTTGCGAATGTAGCAGCGATGGCAGGATCTGGAAAGGCATTTTACATAGTTACGCTGGTGTTTGTATTTGTTGAAATTTGTAGGGGATGGGTATTTGCGGTAGATGCTGTAGAGACCACTCTTGACTTTAATAGCTGCTTTCAGTGATGGAGTCATCCAGGGGCAGGGTTTGTGGCGTGATTTCCGACGAGGAGGTGAGGATCTTTTTATATATAGGTCCAAGGCACCTTCACAGATGTCAGTGAATGCGGAGACAGCCGTGTCGATGCAGTGGGAGGCAAGGACCTGAGACCAGGGTACATCTGCGAGAAAAACATTCATGGCATTCCACATGTTATCCGTGGCACTCAGGACATTGTATTTTTGTGTAGATGGTGGGCTACGACAGGTGCTGGCTGCTGTGGGGGAAGACTTTGAGGAGGAGAACTCAGCCAGCAGGACGGCGTGGTCTGATGCGCCAAGCGGAGCCAGGTGTTGAATGTGGTTGAGTTGGTTAGGGATGTTGCTCGCGATAAGGTCTAAACAGCTGCCAAGTCCATTCGAGCGGAGGTGGGTGGGAAAGGTTACCGATTGGGTCAAATTATAGCATGGGAAGAGGTTGTCAAGACTCAGACCCTGTGCATCCGTTTGGTCAGTTGAGCACCAGCCGGAATACCTACAGTTGAAGTCGCCTGATATCACAAGGGCTTCGG